ACCACTCTGGAAAAAGTTGTTTTGTCATTTTTTTTAGAATCATGGTCTTTGTCTTCCCTGTCCGCTAGCTCAACAGGGACAATGGGACCAAGCACTGTCTTCCAGCTCATTTGATTTCTGTGATTTTTACAGACTGGTCTTTCCAAGTGATCTTACATCTGAGTACTGGTGAGCACCAGGACTGTTTTACTTTCAGTATCAGATAAGACCAAGTGAGAGCACATCTCTCATCATTCATTATTCCTGTAAAAGGGTAGGTTTCAGTATCTTTTCAGTTAAGTGAGCAAGTCTGAATATGATACTCTATTATTTAAAATCTTACTTCATAGTACCACACCGCTTGTGGATATTATCATCATCTAAGGAGCCAGTAGCAGGTATAAGAGAACCTATCCCTTTTACTGGAATGTCTACTGTAGATACCTGCCTACTCTTCTGGGTCTGCTTCAGTTTGCCACAGGAAAAAAAGTGCAAGATTAATTTAAGATGAGATGTCTAGTATAGACAAATGAATTTTGTACACTGTGAGACTATGGATTCATCAGAATAAAATATGTGAAAAAAGAAATTAAATTTATTAATTAACTGCCTCACAATAACCTAAATTTTGTCACCTTACCCTTGCTTACAGGAAAAGTGGTTTAAATTAAGAACATGGAGTATTATGAGCTCTAGCACATGTCATGGGGAAAGAAATGGTCTCTGTAATTTACATTCGTTGCAAATCAGACTTACTTGAGAGTGCTGTTTCCTCGCTATATAACATTTGGAGTTCTAAATTTAATTTATTATTCTAATAGTATTGAAATAAAGTCATGTTACCTTTCTCATGCTTTTCAGTATTTCATATCTGAAAAGATTTTGAGTGCAAATGGCCCTGACTTTTTATGAGGTCTTATATGGCTATTATTAATACCAGATGAAGTTTAGATTTATGAAACCATTGCTATGCAGAGAGCTGGTACTTTTGCAGTATTTAGAATAAGCGCTACTTTTGTATTATGATGTGACTTGGATAGTAGGCATTTGGCCTTGCCGGGTTTTTTCACCTTTTAAAACATGTCAACTCCCACAAATAGGAAACTGTAGTTTCTCTAGAATTTTCCTGAGAAAGTCATCTTTGGCATTGAAATGCCCCTTTTAAGTTTGGATTTTAAGGAGTTTTCTTTGTAAGAGAAAGTGCAGAGGCACAAATCCTAATTAGGAGATGAAGCAGGGTTACATCCTTCTCTGTGTAATTTTGCTGTGGCATCGTAGTAATGAATTCCATGTGAATAGTGATGAAGAGGATAAGTAACAATAAGCTGAGACAGACACGTACACTGGAAATGGCAGTTTCCCATTTTATATGTGCATTAATTTGGCTGTGGTATTTCCTCCCCTTTTTTTCTTCAAGCTCGCCATCATCTCCTGCTTCTGGCAAACCCCAGTGGAAACCATCTGAAGCAGATGAATTGTCTCCACCAAAAAGTAAATTGAACACCCAAGATGGGATTCAGATTCTTGGCAGCTTGGGAACTTCTAGTCGCACTCGAGCCAAGATAAAAGATGAGGACTCAGATAAAATCTTGCGCCAGTTGTTGGGGAAGGAAATCTCTGAAAATGTCTGTATGCAAGAAAAGCTGACTTTGGAATTTCAGGATGCTCATGCATCCTCCAAGAACGTGAAGAAGATTTTGCCAGAGAAAAGGGAGCTGAAGTTAGCCAGACTGAGGCAACTGATGCAGAGGTCACTCAGCGAGTCTGATACAGACTCCGCTAATTCTGAGGACCACAAGAACACCCCTGTGAAAAGAATGGACAAACCAAGGCCTCAGCCCATAGTGGAGAGCGTTGAGAGCACGGAGAGTTTGCACCTGATGATTAAGAAACACACTTCCGCAGCAGGACGCCGCTTCCCTTTTGGTATCAGGGTCTCTAAGTCTGTGGATGGCCACAGTCCTTCCCCTACTTCAGAGAGCAGTGACCCGGATAATGAATCCCCGTATCCATCTGGCACTGCACCTCAGAGCCAGTTTTGTGGAGACAGCTCTCTGTCCGGCACAGACAGTGCCACTGCTCAGAAAGCTGCCACCAGTCCTAAGAGTGCTCTCAAGTCTCCATCTTCAAAGCGCAGAACCTCCCAAAACTTGAAACTCCGAGTGACTTTCGAGGAGCCTGTGGTGCAGGTGGAGCTAGCAGAGACAGAACTAAGCGAGGAAAAGGATAAAGACCGGGGCAAAGGACTCGTGCGATCTCCGCCCAGCTCCGAGCCAGCAGGGGACCAGCTGAAAAGGCCTTTTGGAACCTTTCGGTCCATAATGGAGACACTGAGTGGCAACCAAAATAACAACAACAACTGTCAAACAGCAAACCTGATCAAAACCTCATCGACGCTGCCTTTTACCTCGTTAGGAAGGAAGACAGCAGACAGCAAGGGAAACACAGCAGCTCTCACAAAAGGAAGAAACAAGCCAGTGAGTGCACTGGGAGGAGGAAGGGCCTTGTTTTCTCTTGTCTCTTTAAGTAATGAATAAGTTTGACAGCTTCTTCTTCCTACCTTTCTATAGCTAAAGGATGTACACAAATACTTTACTGTATTTCACCTGTAGAAAGCCCATCCACTGTTTTAATTTTGGAGGGTTTTTCCAAGGAGTGACAGGTATTGGTTGGGTACAGAGCCCTTACTCTTAGTGCACAAGATTCACATATTCTAAGTTGAAAGCTTTCCACGGAGACGTGATTCACCTGGAAATGATGTTTGGAGTTGCTCTGAGTGACAAGTCATACAATGAGAATGTCACGCTTTTATCCATGGGGCTTCTGAGGAGTGAATAACTGAAGAACTAGTCCTGTCCTATAGCTAAGACTGATGAGGCTGACAGGAGGAAAAAAAGTGGTAGAATATACAGAAGAAAAATAGCAGAAATGGTCCTTCCTGTGGAAGTTACAGCCATCCCCTAGATGTTGAAGTTGTCAGTACCCATCCTTCTTTGCCCCACAGCAGAGTCTTCTCATGGCAGAGTATATAGTTGGTCTGTTGCAAAATGTACTGGACCCAGATCATCCCCTCTCTGTGGTCCACAGAGTGCCCTTTCTGGGATCCCAACAGAAAGAGGGGTGTCTCCAGTTAGAAGGCTGGCTCTCATGCGTGAAAGAAAGGCTTGAAAATACTTTCTAATTCCAAGAAAAAGGGAGGTATTGAATGAAAGGGCAGAGGTAGGAAATACTGTGAGCACAGTGTGTTTGTGGAGCGGAGAGGAGAAGTGTGAGCATCTGGAGATACAATAAGGAGTTGAGTGAGAGGGAATGGTAGATGATTTAATCCTCTGTGAAAGACAGGGTGGGAGGGAAGAGGTGGATGGAAAGACATGAGGCAAAAGAATAATTTCAAGATGAAAAAAAGAACATAAAGCAGGCCAAGAGGAGGAGGAATAGTGAATTATATACTGTAAAAAGTATGACAAGGTAATGGGAGAAAAACACAGGAAAATCTTAGGCAGGAGGCAAAATGAGTGTGGAAAAGAAGCAGTGGAAAGAGGGAGGTGGGAAACAGTAAGCAATCCATATTAGTGGGTATGGCTAGAACAGTAGCGCTATAGCAGGATGTGATATGAAATGAAAAATTCAAAGGAGACCTAATAGGCTAAATTGAAGTGGGACTGCATTTATTAAAGTTTACTAAGATTCACAGTGTGAACTACTGATGTGAGCCTTTAAGGACATGCACCATCTAGACAACAGACGATTTAACATGGGAGTATTTTCTTAACACAATGGCAGTTTTTTGCAGAAGAGTGTTTCCGATTTTGTAGCGATAGAGGAAAAGACAGGCTGCCTTCAAATATGGTCGGATAGATTGCAGTGTTGTGACAAGTTTTTATAGTTCCCTAAGAAATTTGAAGAGCTGGGTGAAGTAATCCTAACAGTATTGATGTTTGCACTGTAAAACGCGTTTTCTGTGGAAAGGCCGTGTTTGCATGTCATTGTTGCCAACATTAAAACTGTGGAAAGAATACAATTTCATACCAACCCAAAGGACCACAGCACCCTTGTTAACGAGGCAATGGGTTCAGCCTCATTCACTAACTCAAGAAGGAATCTGTTAAAACATTACAGTAGCTGTTTGCATGAATTCCATGTTATGCATGTGGTAAGCTCAGTGCATGTTTTTAACTGACACAATGTTGTACTTCCTTAGGGTCCTTCCTTCAGCTACACCAGTCTTTCCTCTAGCATGCTGAATGAAGAACTTCTGTGTAACTGTGCTCGGTATGTGCTCGTGCATGGGGATGTTTAGCATCTTCTGTTGCTCTTTTTTTTCTCAAATTGCATGTGTTTCCTACATTATTCATTACTGAAATACTGGAATTGATTGATGCACAAGAAGGGTAATAGATGAACAGATGAACATCTAAATGCCTAGAAAAGCAGAAATTTATGATGGATTTCTGCTGATGTCACCATTGAACTGGCTACGGGATTTCAGTTCCAAGCAAGTATAGAAAGTATCCATACTCATAAATCCAACTGGGAGCATAGCGCACTTTGGCTGAGCATTCAGCCTCTGTTGAATGGAAGTCAAGTACCAGATGAGAATGGAAATCAAATTTCCTCTCATGAGAGGAGCAAAAAGACCCCAGTTCATCTCAAAATGGAGACTACAGAGAACATGAGGCAGAGTTCTGTACTTTGTTTAGTGCTCACCTATTTTCATACATTTTTGTTACTCTCCCTCAGACTTTGAAGTTAAATCTGTTTTTTAAAAGTCTGATAACTTTGACTGTGTTCTAACTCCTTAGTTTAGCTGTGTTCAGTCGGGACAATTCAGGCAGATAGACACCAGTCCCTCAAGGTCCATAAAGACATGTTGGAAAAAAAACATTTGACAAAATGTGTGATTATTTTATAAGCAACTGCTTTGTAAAAATTGCCTGTCATTTTTCATTCAACTCTTTAACACTCCCAAATTCTTGTGACGGTATTTTTGTCTGTTAAAATGAGGTGTAAATCCTTTCATTAGGCCTGCAAATGATTGCTATTCACACCAGAATTATACATGTTAAGATACTTTCAGGAAAAACATAGTAATTTTGCAGTTCAGAAGTCTAAAATACTTTCAAATTACTCTTTTCTAAATGTCTAGTAATTTTTTTCGTTGTTGTTCACTTGTTTTCTAATGCCAGGACTTTCCCATACTTAAAAACTCAATTTCCGTAGTGGAAATGGGAGCCTTGTTCTGAAGTCATTGGCACAGTGTATGTGAAACCAGAAACAGAACTGTAAGGTTTCCAAGAGGTTTCATTCTCTCCTGCAAACAAAGAGGGAAATTCCAGTGCAGAAAACTGACTGCACAGCAGCAGTTTGAGGGAGTATCAGTGGGCAGCCTCCAGTCAAAACATCCAGCTGCTTGTCCTGCTCATGGAATAATACAAAACCGTTAACCTCATCTGTGCGTTAGAGCTGTCTCTCAGATGTAACCCATTGTTGTAACTCAGTATTGCCTTGTGTAAATGCTCTTGTGTGAGAAATCCCTGGCAGCGCGGCATTTCATAGAATCATAGAATCAGAGAA